CCTGTTTTACAACTTGCAACTTTTATAATCACTCCTTTGATCCTTATGAAATTGTAAGATACATATAGAACAGGGCATTGTCCATGTTCTGTAGATAAAGAAACTGAAGCCCAGGGTCAGAGCTTGGACCAAAACTCAATTTTAAATGCTTAGCACGTGCAAAGCTTAATTTATGCAAGTTTAGCACCCCCCCCCCCCCCCCCCCCGCCAATGTTGCAACTGTAATTACTGTTCCTGACCCTATAGCACCAGAGTATGTTTGCTGACTTTATTGATGGAAAGATGCAAGGCAAAGAATTTGTTTAAAAAACCAAACTATAGCACAGATAATCTGCACATTGAGGACACCTTCAGAAATCAGAGTGGATCATTGGAGTCAAGTTAACCATGACTGTGATGTGCTAAAGATGGCCCAAAAGGAAAGAACTGACTGGCCTGGTATAGATTTAGCTCACATGGGTAAGCCCTTTCTCTAGAACAGAAGATCGGAACCTATTTTGTGTCATAGATCTTTCTGGAAGTATGATAAAGTCTATGGACCCCTCAGAATGTTTTTAAATAATTGAGGGAAATGCTAAATTTCAGTTTGAAGTTAGTGAAAATAAAGATGCTATTTTCCCTGCCATCCAGGAATTGGACCCCTGAAATCCCTCAGTGCTCTGATCTAGTGTGGGTCTTTCATCACCGTGTCAAGCCTCATCTTTCAAGGGCATCAAGATCTCCTATGTAGGTCTTTAATTGAGGGAAGTCACAGCATGTTAGACTTACCCAGTCATTTTATAGAGATGGAAATTGAGACCCAGAGAAATGAATTTAATTGCTCGAAGTCATATAGTGAGAGAGGTAGGTTAAGAATCTATTCAACTCTTCTTCCCTTCAATAGTGTAGGACACAGCACCCTTACATTTGTAGATCACTCTACAAATTTGGGGGTGCTTTTGTACACATCTCATCTGTTCCTCACAACAACCCTGTGTAAGCTCTAAGATCGGTGACCTGCCCAAGGTCATCAGGCTAATTAGTAGCCAATTCAGATCTCCTACATCATGCTCTGGTAGTCTTTCCAAAACATAAACCTCTAAAAATACTTATAGTAAAAATTTTTCATTACCACCTTACCTAAAGACTTAATTGTGAGCATCCATGGTCCCAATTCTGCTCGAAGACTGCCCACTGTCTTAAAATACAGTGATCAGTAGTTATGAAGGGGATCTCCTAGAATGGTATCAGAAGGTCTGGGAGTTTCTATGGATTCAACAGAAACTCTACTCATTCAGAGTGGCAAAAAGAGGTAGGGAAGCTACCCTTTTCCCGGTCAATATTGCCATTATTCTAAAAGCATAAAAAACATGTCCCATAGATAGGCTAAGGGAGTGAAAAGACAAAGCTCTGATGTGCTCTTTAGCCCAGAGAGGCAGATCTCCCAGCCAGGGACAAAATAGAAAAAACATGCCTCTTACCACTTGGAGGGAGGAAGGTGGGGAGAGGAGAAGAACCAGTCCCCACCAATGTGAAACTGAAGTTCTCATTCATTCATTCATTCATTCATTTATTCATCCACTCATTCAGGAACCACTTGCCCTCTCAAAGGCTCTGCTCTAGTTGCCAGGTAACAAGAGAAGAGTAGCTGTGCACCTGCAAACATCCAGACACGCATCCTGGGCCAGTGCCCATCCTCCACAGCCACCCTCTTTCTGGCACTTAGGTGCTCAACAAGGGGAGAAAGCAGCCATGTCCCAGAATAGAATGTAGGCTTTATTATGGGAATCTGAAGGACTACAAGCCATCAGGGCAGGAGTTAAGGAGCTCCTCAAATGAAATGATAGGCAATGGAAGGTGTAAACATCTTGGTAATAAAATTCCCACCTCCCCCACCCATGGGAATTTCATTCAAACAGTTTCTTTCAGAGAAAGAGAACAAAACCGGTACCTGAATTTTCAAAAGAACAGTGTCTTTGTACAAGGAAAAGAGCACCCGCCCACCCACCCACACACACACCAAATTTCAATACAATAGCACTCCAGAAAGTTTGAGGAAGTGCATCAATATACACCAGTACCCCATTGGTGCTGCTGCAAGGGATGAGCCAATGACAGCCAACCAGAGGAAAGAGACCAATCCCAGTCCAGCCACTGAAACTTGGTAAGTTACCAATCTTCTGCCCTAAAGAAACCAGATCAGCGTGGGACCAGTTAACTATTTTCTGCAGTTGGGTCACTTCTCTGGGCAACTGTCCAATTTTTCTTTCTCCCATCCCTTTGCCATGGCTGCCTCAAAGCACACAGTTCAGACATTTTAAGGGGGAAAAAAAATCCACTTTTTTTTTCCCCAGTGAGTGGTTGAAATGATGGCCAGAACAGTTTCAGAAATACACAAGTCTCCACAATCTATTTTTCTTAACACATCAGGGTGCCACAGATGATCAGATACCTGGTGATACGGTGCACTTTTCACAGAAGTCTGAACACATACAGAGGGGTGCAGTTATCAGGAGGTAGGGAAACAGTCCTTCCACTTTTAACAGCTGGATTGGGGACTAAGAGAGGAAGCTCCCAACACTGCAGTAGGTATGTTTGATTTCGGTTTAGTTTATCCTTTTAAAGGTGAATTCAAGTCAGCACAATAAAGACAGGTTCCGCTGCCAGAGCACAGGCAAAGGCATTGACAGCTGCAGCAGGAGTTTGGAGGCCTCAGCGTTCTTCCACTTTTGTCAGGACCGGGAAGGCAGCTTCGCCAGCGCACTGTCATATCCCACTGCCTAATGTCACAAAGGTTACAGAGGAGGGATTTTCAGCAGCAGCAGATATAGAGGTAGGTAGTTACGGATGCTTCAGCAAAAACTGAAAACTTTTCAATCCATCTATCAAAGTGCTTGCAAGACCAATGTCAAGAGCAGGTGACCATCAAACAAGGAAGATTAATCTGGATCCAAAAAATTTTTTTTTAAATTATTGTTTAAAAAAAAAAATCAGTGCAGATCAATTGGCTCTCATCAACTCTTCCTTAAGTTTTGAGTGCAGCCGATGTTCCTTCTGCCTGAACACATGGAAAAGAGAAAAGAAGGAACAGGGCAGGCGAGGAAGGTAGATGAAGCAAAGGGTGGCAAATCTGGGCAAGGTAAAGAGGGGAGACTGGAGGACTGGCCACCTCTTCCACACGCTCTGGCTATTTGGGAGTTGCTGGGGTGAGTCAAGTTAAGAATTAACTTGCCCAGCTTAAAAACAAAAACAAACAAACAAAAAAAACCCAGAAAAGTACATACAGCAAATGAATTGCTTTGTTTGCCTTGCATGCAGGTTTCAGTATGTGCCACAAGGGGTCACACTTTCCAGCAAAATCATTCATGGATCAGAGCTGCATTCCTCAGCACGCACTGGGAATGAGCAAAGCCAATCCTTCCTCACTGCAGACCTGTTGCATTATTAATTAAAAGGCAGCAATGGGGGAGGAGAGGAGGGGAAGGGAAAAAAAGGGGGTGATACCCTCAAAAGCATTACATGACAAATATTTGAAGCTCAGTCTGATGGGGTCGTTAGTTAGAATCTGTGCTTGTCCATGGCAGGCAGGATCCAGGCAAGGAGGCAAAACAAAACGGTCAGTATTAGGAATCTGCTGCTTATCACTAAGGAAGTTTGCCAGGCGGCCTCACCCTGCGGCTGCCACTTGTATTGGTGGATCACTGTCGTGTCAAGCATCTTCTAGCTTCTTGGACCTTCAGCCGCTGTTATTAAACTCCTACTTAAGCAGCAAATTGTTCTATTCAGCTCCAGGGTTGTAAGCCTGACTGTTTGGAGGTAGACTAGGGTTCCCAGTATTGAATGCAGCTTGAGGGGATTTTCATTTTAGAAACTGCACATTTAAGACAATTTCCCCCTCCCCCAATCACTAGGATGTAAACGTAGGAGTTTCACAAAAATAGACAAACACATTCCAGGCCTGGGCTCGAACAGGCAGGTACACGCATTCTACCTGGATCATAAGAATCTTTTCAATTCCCTTGTTTAGTTTTACTGCCAAACTACCTTGGTTCCCAACCTTCCACTCTCCCTGAAAACCATAGTTTTCCAATATAAGGGAAACTATGTACGTAGAGGCACATAACCTATTCGATGCAGTCCAGATCTAGATGCTCTGGCTTATACGACAGGATAGAACAGATTTGTAAATATTCAGTGGCGGGGAAAAGGGCAAAGCCAAATTGGTTCTTTGCCCTGTACTCTGAAGAGGCACAAGGTGAATAATATCTTTGTGCCTCAAGGACTGCAAGTAGGTCTACGGCACCGCCTCCTGGGAAAGAAACACCGCATGTTACATGTTACAGCCAGCATCTAGACAGGCAAATGGACCACTCTGAAGAGTGAAAGGGCAGAGGGTGAAGACGAGAAATGCATTTGTGACAAAACAGAATTGAACCAGCTCACCAGCTGCTAAGCAGTGACAGGGTGGGGCTTGAGACGAGCAGGAGGAAAGAGGCCAATAAAACACAGCACAAACAAGGAAAATGCCTGGTTTGCTTAACAGCCTGGTATAATGCGGGAAGTTGAACTGAGGCAAGAGCTATTCGTCTGTACTGAACCCACCAGGCATCACCAGCAGACAGATGGCATATCCTCCAAGCCTGGGTTTCTAAAATACTGCTTATCTTCGGGAGTGGGAAGAGGGAGTGGAAGAGGAGGAGCAGGGGAAGCAACAAAAATAGCAACCCTTAGAAATCAAGACTTGGTCACAAGTTTAAAAAGGAAAAGGAATCAAGGCCACTTTTATAGCACAGACATGCTGATTCTTTCATCTTGCTGATAATAGCATTCGTGAAATTCATCACCATAAAAAAAAAAAAGGAAAATAAGAAAACATCAATTTTTTTTAGAAAACAAAACCAAAAAGAGGGCTCAGAGTAGGATCTGTGCTGACAATCCACGGCCAGGTGACCTCTGAGCAGCCATGCTTCCGGTCCACAAGCTGGGTTCTCCTTTATGATTGTTGAAAAAACACAGCCTAATAGTTTCATACTGTATTTATTTAATAACTAAAATTCACAAATAAAAAGATACTTGTAAAGTCCTTTTTCTGTTGTGTCATCCCTGTCTCCTCCACTTTACTGCTTTCAGACCCATATGCACTAACAAAAAAAAAAAAAAAATGGGCTTGGATTTTTTTAAAACCTTTTTTTTAAACTTATAACTGTTATATGATTGGTCAGTTGGAGCTGAAGCACCAATGGAGAAGATGCTTTATGGAGATAAGGGTATATCCCACCTTCCCACCTTTTTTTTTTTATTGAAGGAACATTGGAGATGTACCAGTGTCAGGACTCCTCTGCTCCCATTTTCCCCACCCAGAACATTCCTTTTATTTTGTTTTCCTGTTTTATGAGACTGACTTTAGCCTCTTCCCCCTCCCCCCCTTTCTGTCCATTCAAGACCATGTGGATGTCGGACATTGTTCATTTCTTCCTCCGACAGGCCCATGTTCAGTAATCAAGTAGGTCCTAGTACACAGCTCAGTGCGTGCGGTTGCTTGTTGTTGTATGGGCTTATTTTTTTCATTTCAGGTAGGTCTTCGTGTCATTTCAGAAGGCTTAATTCCTTTCACTTTTCTGGAGAGCTGTTGGGTAAGGCTACTCATACTCCAGGAATTGTTTGTGATAGAACAGTAAGTACCTGGGGAGGGAGAAAAGAGAGTCAATTTTATCTTCTGGTTCTCTAAAAATCAACAATCAAAAAGCACTTAAAAAGCCCCCAAGTTGTTCATTCTGAGAAAGAGCCATGATTCCAGAGATAGTTTTTGCTGTCCCTGAGACAATCAGGTACAAAAATGCCACTTGGTTTTAGTGTTTCAGCCACCCTCCTTATGGTCCCTTTGTCTCAGATTCAGTCTTTTAAAAAATATTTACTTTTAATATTCATTTAAAATAAAATTGAGTTCCAAATTCTCTCCCTTCTTCCCACCTCTCCCCCACCCACTGAGAAGGCAAGCAATATAATATCAAGGATTTAGTCTTAAATGCCCTGTCCAGCAACTAGATAGCCTTAAGTTTTTCTTATGTACCTGTAAATATTAGCTAACCGCTTTCTTTACACACTTGAACTAGGTGGATGGAGGAAGAAAAGATCTAATGATGCTAATTTTTCCATCCATATACAGAATCTACTTGCAATGTTAATTATAATAAAGAGCTGGGTGGGAGAAACTCATTTTTTTTTTTTTTAAACTCAGGCTAACCATAAAAAGGGGAAATGGGAAAAACCATTCTAAAAGACAAAGTACTTTTATGCATGCAAATGCACCAACTTTTGTGTGATTATTCCATGCTTAAATCAAATTATTTTTTTCCAGCATTAATCAGAAAAAGGTAAGATTAGAAGTGGTTTTAAAAAGATAACTCATTCTTGAGGGGAAAAAAAGTTAATGACGTTTTTGAAATCACATAAAAATATACTGAAAAGTTTGTTTGCTCCTTGAGTTTCCTATCATTTCCACCCACAAATGTGGTAATGAAATGTGCCCAGGGTCACAAAAATAATGAAGCAAGATTTGAATCGAGGTCTTCCGGACTTTGTGTTCAGTAGTATATCTGTTCTGCTACACTAAGGAGCTTCCCACTGAGGCTAAAGACAAAGTAAAAGGAAGGGTCAGGCAGGCTAGGTCACCGGATGCAAGGCCAAGGGATAACTGCCATAGGGTTAGGATAAAACAGGTCCTGGCCCCCCAGATGCCTGTCGAAAAGCTGGTGTTTTCTTACTCTGACATTTTAGTCATAGCGAACAAAACACATTTCCTGAAACATGTCTTCATTCTACCATAAAACATTAAAGTGGAGATGGTGTCCTAATACCAAAATGCCTTCATCAAGGCAATACCGGTGAGAATGACCACAGCCTGAGCAGGGCACTTCTTTATCTGGTTCTTTCTATTGGCTCTCCTCTCCCCAGCACTTAGTGTTGCTGACTGGAGCGTAAAGGATGGTCTCAGCTCTTCTGCTCATGTAGTTTCAATGACTGCCAGCATACACATCTTTCCCAGAGCTACATCCCCACTGTCCTGTCAGTTCCACATCCCTGACTTCCAGAACTAGTAATATCTCCACCTTGAGCACCCACACTCTGTGCAGACCTCCATTATCACTAGACAGGACATCTCCCCCCACCTACTGTCCTGCCAAAACCTGAAACATGTCAAAACCCAAATATCATCAGACCTTATTCCCAATTTTCCCATCCCTTTCAAAGAGTGGCACCAGATTCTCCCACTTCTCTCATGACCCTGATTTTCTTTTATATATTTCCTTTGCCCTCCCCATTCCATTACCACCTTTTCATTCCTCCTCAACAATCTGGTTTCACGGGGCCTTTTTCCTTCTTGTCTCCTTTGACGCCACATATTACCCCATCCCTAAATAACAAAAGCCACCTTTGTCTAGCAGGTCTCTCTACCGTCCAGTCTGGCCTACACAATCCTCCTCAAATACTATTTTTATCACATCACTCCTCTGACTCAAGAATCCACAATGAACTCAAACACCGTCTCTGCTTGTCTTGCTAACAAACTTATTCTTCTGCAACTGCAGACTATTCCAGTCCAGCAAATCTGCTTAAGGACCAGTTTCCATGATTTGCTCATTCATTTGCTGGTCATTCACCTCACTTGGAAACCCTTCTCTCTCACTCTTTCCCTCCTTTAAAACCAAGTTCCCGCAAAACTTATTTCATCAAGAAAGCTTTCTATTGGTCCTGTGCCACCGAGTATCCTTGTAGTACAGATGTACTCAGGAACTATGTTTCTGGACTTTGGGGAGGCAGCACAGTGAGTGGGTAGAGAGCCATCCTCAAAGCCAGGAAGATGTGGTTCACATTCTGCCCCTTCCACACACTGAGGTGACCCAAGTCACTCAGCCTCAGTGTCCTTGGGGACTCTCTAAGACTGAGAAGGTACTGCCCTGCATTGGTAGAGGGAATGTTGTCTTCCAGGAGTACCCAATACTAAGTGAAAATAACAGCCCACTCCTTATCCCTAACCCCTATGCTAATGTGCTTTCAGCTTTTTCCATGTGTTTTTATAAATAAATATATATATATCTATATCTATATATATGTTACTTATCTTCAACTGGCTTTTATAAGCAAGACCATACTTCTTTCTTTTTGACTTCCCCTCTCAATCTCTAGAATACCTAATTTCATCTGATAAAATGAAATATAAAAGGTATAAATGTAAACTCCTATACTTGGGTAAAAAAGCAAACCAACCAACCAACCCTGCAAGCACAGGGTGCAGGCCAGGCAGCAGTTCCTGGGAGAAAGTTTGTTTGGTTGTCTTCTAGGTTCAATTAAGAAGGTGACTCAGGAAACCACCCAAACCTCCAGTGTGCTGGATGACGGCATCTCAGAAGCACCACCCCCACAGCAAGATGCCATGTTGTTCTCCTCCCAGGTTAGATACGCCTGGGAGGCCCGGCTCATTTCCGAGAGCCACATTTTGGGAAGAGCATGTGATGAAGAGGAGTGAGTACACCCCCCCCAAGCCACATCAGGGCCTGGTGAAGAAGAAAAGCCTGAGGGGTGGGGGGAGAGGAACAGCACGACGGCTCTCCTCAACGGGCAGTCTATTAAAGGGAGGAAGTATGAAGATTTGCTTTGCTTGGACCTATGGGCAGAATTAGGGGCAAAGGAGATTTTGGCTTTAACGTACGGAATGAACATATGTGTGAACTTCTGTATGAATAATAAGAGCTCTCCAAAACTGGATGGGCTCCATCAAGAGGCAGCAAGGTATCTATCACTGCGGATGGATGGAGTTGGCTATTCTGAGGACAATTTGTCATGAACATGGTAGGGCAGTTCCTAGGTTAGGAACAATTCCACCCTGGATATTCTAGGACTCTCAAAGAATACTCAGTACACAGGGGGTGGTTAATAGATGGTGACTGATTTGCCCACCTTCCCTTCCTCTCTAAAGGGCATCTTTGTTCCATGAAATAAAGGAAAGGCTTTTGAATAAAAGCTTTTGAGACTGAAACGAGAACATTTTTGGCCTTAAATTGAAAGGACATAGTCAGTCTTTCCAGGTCAATAATTTTAATTTGAAAAATCATTAGTGAGATAAATGTGAAGAAACAAAACATGCTGCACCAGCTCAGGGTTCTTGTGCATCCCTGCCTGGGCCTTGTTGTTTAAAATACCCACACCACCTTCAGCAGGGAGATTAAAAGGATTTTTGGACTAATGTAGCAAACCTTGTAGAAACCTGCTAGGGATGTAGCACAAAGCAAACTGAGTATGAACATCTGCTCCAAGCAGTAATTAAAGCATGGAACCAACATCTAGCACGGCATTGACAATAAGCTCAGTATAATCATCTGAACCCAGTGTGTCATCAAATTCAAGCAGGATGGTTAAGACTGTTTGAGTTAGTGAGCACTTGGGCTTCAGATACTGGGTCACTGACCACAAAGGTCAGTTTCACAGGGGAGGGGCTTGCAAGGGAATCTTCTGATTTTATTCACAGTTCTGCTTTCAAACTGGTTTGCTGCAGGTAGGTGGAGGGAGTCTTAGGACTGTAAACAAACATGAAAAATTTGGGATCCCCTGCAAAGATCCAGACTATTAGAACTGAAAGGACATGAGAGATCATCCAGTCTGCTGCCATACATTTAAAGCTGAGGAAACTCAGACCCAGAGAGGTCAGATGATTTGCCAAAGTCACCATTAACACAGAGCTCTTCTTACGAGACCCCACTGTCTCCCTAAAGGTGAATCAAGTAACAGACTGGATCCTGTCTGTACCAAATGCATTTTCATTTGAAGAAATAAAAACAGATTCTGCCCACAAGTACTTCTCAGGGTATATTGTTTTATTTAATGGACATCTCCCTCATCTGAGAAAAATTGCTTAAACCTACAGCTAGATAGTGACTTCTGACCCACACTGTATTAGTTACCATGACTTAGGCAATCCATTTAAAGGTTTGTGTCTGGTATTTCAGTCACTTTCTGGAATCATGTCATATGAGATGTTTTTTCGTGTCACCAGAGATATCTCAAGGGGCATCCTCTCCAGACTGGCCTTCATTAGTTTAGAAACCAAAAGGTAAACATTCTATGATCTGGATAAAATGTGAAGTTGCTTTAGATCCAGAAAGACATAAGGGGAAAAAAAAGCAGTTATCGCATCCTTTCTGCCATTTCTCCCAATGCCTCTGTCCTAGACATACCCTTCACTGTCTAGAACATCCTTAATGCTAGCCTTAGTGATGATGGCATCATCACATTTGAACCACTGGTCCTTGTGTTGCCGAATAAAGCTGGTATAGTGCCCGCTCTCCAAGGTTCCTTGGTGATTAACTACTGCAAACAAGGAATACCTGGTGGGGGGAAAAACAAAATGTAATTAACTCAGCTCCAGTATCAATAGAAACCTTACGATTTGGGGGGCAATTATAGACTTGTGTTTGTAAAGAAACCTGCTCATAAATAAGCTATCGTATGGTCCTATAAATATTTAAAACCACATGAATTACCAGTGGTAGGCAGAAAGCCATGGTGAAGCACTGCAAAGATAAATAGACCCACGCGTGGTGCCACTTACTTGTTGCCTACGGTCAGCTGTTTAGCTGTATTTTGTATTCACATTAAAACAGGTGGCTTTCCTGCCTCATGTGAAATACAAATGAATAGTAGTAATAGTATAACCTCTTTTTTTCAAGGGATTCAAAATGCTCCCTCATTCACTTTCACAATACTTACAGGAGGAAAAAGGGAGGCAACCAGTGAAAGCTTAAGGAATTACAATTCTAATCAGGTTAAAAAAAAATTAAAAATCTCCAACGATGTAGCTGAAAAGGGAATCTGGATTTCTCATTCACCTTCTCTTGCCTTCTACCTCCACCAAACTACAAGGAAAGATGCAGAACACTGAGCTCAGAGCCAGGAGTGGCATTTAAATGTGGCCACGTGGGAAGTCCCATCTCCACCAATGGCTTCAAACAATAAATGTTCATGGTCATTAGCAAGTCAATGAGTTACTGGCCAAAAGCAAAGCAACAGTTAAGAGAAGCTCAGAGAAGGACCTGTGCTATTACAATATAGCCAGGAATTCACATTAGCAGAGCTGAGAGTACCCACACCACCCTCCTTCCTTGAATAAAAACAATGGATTCCATCACTTACTTATTATCATTGTTTAGACTATCCGTTGGCTGCTGGTACTGTCCGTTCATTCTGCTCTCTTTACTGTAATACAATATACAGAAGTTCAGTTTTACTTAATGTAACAGCTTTCTACACTGTAAACATACTGTCACAAGTTGGCTATCAGAGGCACAGTCTTCTGGGTGGGAGCTTGTCTCAGACCTGGCGCAAGTAAATGCTGCTCTGTATTTATAACAGTATGTATGAGTATGTATATGTATATATAGGATTATCATGCTTCCTCCCCCACAAAGAGAATCCCTGGGAATAACAGCAACTGTCAAATCTGAATCGTATTAACAATTAGGTCTTGCATAAGAACCACTCCTCCACTCCAAAGGGAGTAAAGAGTCATGCTGAGTAAAGAATGTCAATCTTATTCATGTTACTACCAACGTACCTCCTGGGGGACAGTCAGGCAATTTGGGATTTAAAGCTTGAATGGGTTTAGTCCACTGCTGGAAGCACTAACAAAATTAAGATACTTGATAAGAGTAACCATGACCCACCCACCCCCTGAAAAATGAATTGATGGTTCAATTGATCCACTTTTCCAGTCATGGGTTCTTCTGCTTTGAAGCAGGAAGACAATGCTGACTGTTTCATGAAAGGTCTCCATTTTCAGGAGCCAGACAGAATGGACCATCAGATGCTGAGAGCTTCAACAAGTCAGACACACACCAATATTCCTAATTTAGAGCAGATGATGGTTAGCATCTTCTGGAAAATAAATCTCAAGTGGCCTTTGGGAAATGATGTGGAAAAAAAAAGAAAACTGAAGCTGTAATATAAACTATATAAACGACTTCCAGAGACTTCTAACTTTACATTTCTGGGCCAATTCCAATTCCATCATCTAAACGCATGATTTAGGTATGTGTGTGTGTGAGACCTTCCCCAACATCCAGGGATAATGATCTAAGAAGAGTACTCAAATATTTTCTTCTTCACCTATCCATCAAGGATTGTCATGAAGGGGTTTCACATCATTACTAGAGACATAGGAGTGTCAGAAAAACCTCACACTTACACATTAGCTTTATTACACATAGATAAGTTCTATGCCTGCTACTCAAGCCCTATACCAAGGTCTAATCCTGCCACAGTGATGCCTCTGGGCTGTTGAGCGCTACGGATAGCAAGAGGGCTGAGAGATCAGACCCCAAGCTGGAAGTGCTAGTAAAGCCAGTAATGGCCGGTGCCGTCCATTGTCTGAGGCCAGAGAGGTTCTTCCCCACAAGATCAGCCACCAGGGGAAGAGACTCTCTATAAAGAAGTGGCTGTGATCTGCACTGGTGGAGGGACGGGCCCCCTTCACCCCTCCCCAATCAATGAAATAAGAGCCTTTAAAAAGTGTCAAATTGGGGCAGTTAGGTGGCACAGAGGATAGAGCTCTAGCCTTGAAGTCAGGAGGACATGAGTTCAAATCCAGTCTCAGACACATGACACTTACTAAGCTGTGTGACCCTGGGCAAGTCACTTAACCCCAACTGCCTCACCCACAAGCAAAATAAATAAATAATAAATAAAAAGTGTCAAATTAAAGGCTATTCAGAGAAGTAAATACCAAGCAGCTGAAAGTATAAAAACCACATTTTTCCCCTCTTTTTAAATAGACTTATAAATCCTATCATCACTACATCTAGGCAGTCCTATTCTGTATCATAGCTGTCACTCAAAAAAGTATGATTCCTCTTAGACTTACATTCAGAACAATGCTGTGGCCTAAGGAGAGTCTAGGATTTCTAAGCACTGTCATACCTGGAGGCCATAAACGGTGTCATGTCCAGCTCCAAAGGGAAGGAGACATACGTAGTGATCTTTCGCCTCAGTTTGGCTGAGTGTTCAAACCGCTACAGGAATAAAGGGGGAGGGACAGAGACTTTTTCAGATAGCTTACAGGTAAACTCCATCAAGATTATTAGGATGACAGCACTATAGATCAGTCACTTAACCTCCCTGAGCCTCAGTTTCCCAATATGTAAAATGTGGCTAAACATCACTTAATTACTTACCTAGTAAGGTTTCGGTGGGGAAAGTGCACCAGAAACTGAAATGTAAATATTGTACTTACTGTAGGAGTGGTTTTTTATTTTTATAACTGCTTATTGGTCAGGTTTACTACTAAAAGACCCCTTCCCTTCCTTCTTCCAGTGCTATCTATGGCTCAGAATGATAGTTTCAAGGCAACAGAAACCCAGCTGACTAGGCAGGCACAGCCGAACAACAAAACTGGGAAACTTAAAATATGCAAGCAGATGGGAAGCCAAAATTGACAAATCTCTGGCAATGAGAAACAGCCATGTTGCTTCTTTTGATAACCACATAGTTCAACCAAGGCAGGAAATTCCTCTGAAGTGATTTTACAGACAAGAGAAGGAAAATAAGGATTTTACAGACGAATTGTGCATCTATAAATGGAGAACTGAAGGCAGAGCCCACATCCTAACAAATGAAAATCACACAAATGAAGGATAAGCTGAAGACAAATGTTCCCTTCAATGGAGCTTCTATTTAAAGAGGAACTCACAAAGTTTACGTCCTAGTCACATGTGTAGTTAATTATTCTTTGTTTGCACTGTCATAAAAATTCTCTCAGCAAAAGACATGAAAGTAATGAATCGAAGTTATCACCTTTGGTTTCTATAGCAACCCTCACCTCACATGTTCATTCATTATTAAAATATACCCACAGTAATGGATCCTAGGAGAAGGAGGAAAATACAGCCCATGGCAAAAATGGGTCTGGTCAACCTTTGTTTGGCAAACTTACTTTGAGATGAAAACAGGCCACGATGGGTAATTTCTTCATAGTGAGTTGTTTGGTGGATTCCTGGTAGCTATGGCAACCACTACATTTGATTTTGGCACTGCTTCCTAAGTGCTCTGGCCGTGTAAACCTGCAATGATTGGACGTGGGGACAAAGCAAGTTATTTGTTCCTACTTTTCAAGGGACAACTTAAATGTCATCTTCTCCATGAAAGTTTCCCTGATACCTTTAGCCGGAAATAACAGTCTACTTCTCTGCATTTATTGGTACTCTCCTAAAACACCCTAATGGATGTATTACAAGCATACTCAGTCCCACCTCCTATAAGGCTGCTATGAACATCACTTTGTATTTACATTGTTAATACATTCTAACCACACCTCATTTACAACACCATTGAACATCTGAATAATGAAACTAACCACCCAATATCTCACTTAAAACTGTATTTTTATGGAACATAATGGCAGGCAATTAAGGACAAATACGATATGATTATTTGCACATACTTCATCTCTTCTTTAGATTTAAAGCTTCCTGAGGGCTTGAAATTATGTCCTGTTTACCTCTGTCCCCTAGAACACCCAGTACAGTATTCCCTACACAGAGCAAGCACTCCATGAATGCTTATTGTACCGAGTCAGTATATTACACAAGAAAAGCAGATATATTTACTTCCTTCTTTCATCGTCTTCCATTCCTTTTTCTTAAAGCACAAGGGGGCTCAGAGAACAAATAATGAAACAAATTTTCCTTCCTCAAGGTAGAATGGTGGGGAGCTATGAGTGCAGAATGTTGCAGACACTGTCTGAGGCAATCATTTTGTCCACTGGTTTTGCCTAACTGTTTTTCTTTGTTACAAGGTCAGGTTCAGTGAGGCATGGTGTATGGGGAAATGACTGTGGCTTCAATTAACCTTAAAAAAATACAATACATCTAGGAAAATGATAAAACACATTGTGATTTTTAAAATATGGTGAAGGATAATGCAGTTAACACATTGTATTAGCAGCAATGGAAGAGTAGAGTTGAGAAAAAGGAAGTCTTCTTGTGTCGGCTCTTTGGTGGGGCTGGGGGGAGACGGTCCTTAAACCCTGCTCTACCATCCCGGTTTAAAACAAAAAACATGATTTTCCTGCACCTTAAGCCATATGCCAGCGGGTTACTGGCTACTCTGACTCATTTGAACAATGGACCAGACTCTAGTTCAGGCTCTCATTATTGTTCATCAAAGCTGTGGCCTCCTAACTGGTCTCCTTGTCGATCAATTTACTAAGCATTCACTATATGCCAGGCACTATGCTAAGTGCTGGAGACACAAAAAGAGGCAAAAGATAGTCTTTGCCCTTAAAGAGCTTCCAATCTAATCGGGGAGACAAACAACTTAATCAGGAGATAACTAACAGAGATAAGGCACTAGACTTACAAGTGAAAGTTGGGAAAGGTTTCTTGTCGAAGGCAGGATTTTAGGTTGGGCCTTCTCCAATCTATCCTGCCAAATATTCTTAATGCAAAGCTCTGATCATGCCATGGCCTTACTCAAAAGCCTTTAGGGACTCTGCTACTAAATAAGACACAAGGTTAAATTATGAACTCCTTAAGGCCTTCCACAGTCTGGGTCCAATGTACATTTCTAGCCTTTTTTTTCACTGTGCTCTCTTTCATGAATACTGTATTTTAGGTAAACAAGACTATTTGTGAGTCATTTCCCAAACTCATCCTACTTTCTCCTGCCTCCATGCTTAGAATACATTCCTTCTTACTCTTAAACCTTTGTCTTCCTTCTAGGCAGAGCTAACGTGACATCTCTTCTAAGCCTTCACCGTCCACTATTCTTAAACTTTCTTGCAGTACTTGGTTTGTATGTTTCCTTTGCCTTTACTAGAATCTAACCTTGTGACATAATTGTTATTCGTGTGTGTCTTTGTGAGAGTGTGCCTTATATGCTGAGTAATTATAAACTCTTTGAGGTCAATGAGCTGTCATTTTTCATCTTTTTATCTCTACTACCTACACAGGGCCTTGCACACAGCAGGTTCTAAGGGAGCTAAGTCACCCGGAATGCATAGACTTAGGCTGATGCTTTGTCATCTTCTAAACTTAATTTCATTTAAGGAAAAAGGTCTCAATGAAGTATACAAAGTAAATAAAGCAGAATCAGAATAATAAACACTGATGACAGCTGTAGATAACAATAACAAAACTGGGAAAAATATACAGATGAAAAAGTTCAGAAGGGGACATGGAAACAATCATGCCATTTATTTCTGTGTTATGAAAATTAATATATGCTTATATAACACTAATCTGTATAAATAGTAAATAATGGACATATGTGGTTTCATGTTATGATAGTACCTTTGAATTCTTTCCCCTACTCAATTTAAGAATAAGAATTTTTTTTCTTTAAATAAAAAGTTCTTGGAATAAAAAACTTGGGGTTCCAAAGTGTGCTAAACCTTCACCTTGTATCAAGTAGGTATTTCTCATAAGAGGATTTCTGAACAGTTTAATAGAAGATAGATTGTAAAGGAAGAGAAAACCCTTGAAATAAATGCACTATAAATTGAATACCTACTTCATGGAATACTATCTTCCTGTTTCCTCAATCACAAAGAAAAAAAGATCAAAATCATGAGGAAGCTTTCAAGGGCCAGTAACCCTTCTATACATAAGTTCTGGATTTCTGAAAACAAGACTTGGTGACTAAGTAAGTCAGGCACAGAGGATGAGTTTGGAATTAACCCCAAACTTAGACATGCTTGCCACATTCCCACACTAGCCATCTTCCTTGATCAGTCATTTAACCTCATGATTCCATAAAACTATAATTTAGTAATTTATATCAATGTAGTACAAATTACTCAGGGGTCAAAAGACTTGTTACAGCCTTTAAATGTGAAGTCTTTAATCTTAGCAGCTTTCTCATACCAATTTTCTTCCTATCCACTTTTGAAGTGCCTTAAGCCAATGCCTAGAGTGTGAGGTACAGCACAGGAGGAGGTCTGCGTGGTGTGGGGAGTCTGCCTCGGGAGAACGTACAACATACTGTCACACCCTTCAGGTCTCACACTCGTCATAACTACCCTAAATTTGAGCAGGTCCAGAAACACTATGGTTACATCAGGGCACAGAACTCTTTCTTAATATTCTCCATTAGTTTCTCTGATAGGTCTGAAGTGACTTGAAAAGCTCCCTTTTACTTTTTAAGGGCATCTCATATAGTAATGTACTCCATGATTTCTCTGGAACCTAAATGCACATTCACACCATTCTTCACTAAATCAATGAAACCCTTCCTACTGATTTTCACTTGAGAGACAGTTTCTCACTCATGTGGCCTCATTTTATGGTCTGTCAGTCTCCCCTTCAATTCCTCTCAATTCTTTCCCTCTCTTCTCCACCTCCAAAACATAAACATAACTGTATGAAGTTTTGCTCAGTACCCTAAATATATAATGAATGTCTTATCTTAAATCAGGTGTCTCCTATTGTAATTTAGCTTTCTTTGCATAGTACTTAGGACAGCACCCATGTACCATTAGATAATACTTTGTTAAAGATAATGAAGCTCTTTGATTACTTTATCATGACTTAAATAAATTAATATGTTTTTCATATCCCATGGGACTGAGCATTAGGTCAAAGATCTAGATTTTCTCCATTAAAATAATATATTTGTTTTTTATACATATTTTATATGTAGCTTTAACAATTTGAGATTGATGCATTTTTGTTTCAAAAGTAAATTAATGGCTCTACTGACAATGAAGCAGGATGAAAAATAAAGGCTTTATTATAAAATGCACTTCACATATATGCATACATTGGAATAGATAGCTATTATACCTATAAACAGGGAGAAAAATCTCTACTAAAAGAATCTAACCTAAATCAACTAAAACAGAAATTTGTTTTTTTGGGTGTCTTTTTTTTTTTTTTTTTTTGGTTTTTCCTCAATTCAGTGCAAGTGTAACCATGTCAAGCCACTATCCAATAAACTCCAATGGCTCCCTATCACTTTCATGATCATATAAAATCTTCTGCTTGGCTTCTAAATCCTTTCATAATCTGGCCCACTCCTACTTTCCCAGTCCTCTTATACCTGTCCTACCCCCAAATACTGTGCCGGGATTCAATGACACTGGCCTTCCTGTTCCAGGTACAAGACAGTCCATCTCCCTACTCTGGGCATTTTGATTGGCTGTCTGTCCCCCATGCCTGGAATTCTCTCCTTTCTCATCTCCCTCTCTTGGTTTCCTTCAGGAACCAGCTAAAATCTCACCTTCTGCAAAAAGCCTTTCCTGATCCCTCTTAAAGCTAGTGTCTTCTCTCTAAGATCATCTCCATTTTATCTTGCATATATCTTTTTTTGTATATAGTTGCTTGCCAATTGTCTCTGCCATTACACCATGAGCTCCCTGAGAGCAGGAAGTGTTTTTCTGTCTTTATTTTTATACACAGAACCCAGTACAGTGCCTGGCACATAGTGGGCACTTAATAAATGCTTGCTGACTTGGCTTATAGATGATATGACACATATGCAGTGACTGCTGAGATGCAGCATTTAATATATCATAAAATTAGTTATGAATGGAATAAATCTTTTAAACCCTTACTGTAATTTCAGTTTGTCCATTTGCCTCATTGCCAATTCTACATTTTAAAGTGAATCTCACTGTGAAACCATAAACTACAAGTCCTAGAAAAGATCAGACATTTCCCACTTATCTGCAAAACAATACTAAGGTAGAGGAGAGGTGGTAGTGGAGTGCCCTTAATGGGTCAAAGCTGAGTGACAAGATTGTAATTTGTGAAGCCTGATTTAGTCTCTAGTTCTCTTTGGAGGTGGCAAGGGAAGGCTGCTTAAAAGTCAATGAGGGCAGTGGCTTAGGTGACAAAGCAATGCGGCACTGCTGGGGTATACAGAGAATTCTGTCCCCTTCCTTTGGAAGAGAGCCACCAAATCTGCACAGCCAGCTACTGACAATCAAGTTCAGTCCCTGTGGGCAAATGTTCCTGCATTCCTTTCCTCTTGGGCCTGTACTGGCCAGGGAAAGAGAACAACACAAGTAAGTCTTTCTTTAACCAACCCCATGTTTTTGACAGAGAAAAAGAAAACTCGTTTTAAGGGGGTGTTTCTAAAGCACAGACCCAGTTTCTTACCTTCGCAAGCAGTCTGTGAGTGTGGTGGTTCCGGATACATGACTTTCCCCATTTACCACGCTGCCATCACTCCCTGGACTAAGTGGCCAGAATGGAGTTGAAGAACCAGGCAGGTCTAAACTGATGTCCCAGAATGGGTCTATCGTTGTAGAAACGCCACTACAAGGAGAACACGAGAGAAGATGACAGAACACGAGGAAATTTAATACTTTCCTCTAGGACTTACGAAACCCAATATAGTTATGCTTCACCTCTAGAGGGTGCCCTTATTACACAAAGTATCTAGGACTAGACAGCTGGGCTCAATACTATATTTATGTAGCCCATTTCCACTAGAGGCTTATTTTAAAATTCGTAAAAAGGAAAGTCAGAGATCTGAGAAATTTATTGCAGGTATTGAACACAGGATATAAATCTTGTACAGTCTACTGGTAATGGAATTCAGTGGTTTAGGACCAACTGGGGAGTTGTTCCAAAATGTGGGCTCTGGTTATGGTTGAGGCTGACATAGGCAGACACCTGTTTGTATAATTACATGCCTGCACAAGTAACTGGTAAAACAACGACCCTCAGCAAGACATTAAGGTCACCTGGAATAAAGTATTTCTATTGAAGAGAAAACGGAATTTTCAGCAGGCAACAGGAAATGCTATTTTATGCTAAATACTACAGAATCAGAGGCCCAAAGACATTGAGTGACTCACTCAAGGTCACATGGATCATTAATGGTAGAGTTGGGACTAGAACCCAGGTTTCCTGAATTCTAGTTCAGTGCTCTTCACAGACATGATAAAACTAATTAACTTGACATTTATATGGTGTTTCAAAGTCTTCAAAGCACTTTTCATTTGAACCTCATGATAACCATAGTGAGGTAGGCACTATGGATAATTTATTCACAGTTTACAGATGAAATTAAGGCTGAGAGAGGTTCAAGTGATTTGTTCATGGTCACATAGTAACTACTAATAGTTACTATTTATATATAGTATTTATATACATAGGCAGGATTTGAACCTGGATCTGTCTTTCCAATTCCAAGTTTAGTATTCTATCCACTACATATCATTCTGTTACTCTAAAAACAATACATATGTAAGGTCATCAACAATAGAGAGTTTAATGGAACGTTAAAGTACATTAATTTTTCACTAATATTTCCCCTTAAGGTGGGTTTTGAGATCTTTAACTGGAAGTTATGTGATCAAATACCCATGCCACTAAAAAGTGGTGCATAAGAGATGACAAAACACATGAAAGTTTAATGTTCTACCCTAAGGGACAATGAGGAGAGTCTCCGAGTCTAGACTGGGGCCCAGAGTCTAATGTTTTGCTTCTTTCATCATGCCTGTGGGCCTCTGTCCCTAAAAGGGACCCACTGACTATGTCTTATCAAGGAGCTTCTGCTGGGCCTGAGGAGGATAGGGCTATGTTGCTTCCTAGTTATTCTTTGGTCTTAGATTTTAGGATGACTAATGGCCAAAATTAATGGTACCAAGAACCTTGATATTAATAAATTGTCATACTCGAGATGTCCTGCAACAAAGTTAAAACATAAAGTAATATGGCATGGATTTAGTGTCAAGAGAATCTGGGTTCAAATATCATCTTTGTCACTTTCTTTGTGACCTTGGGTAAGTCAATGAGCCTTTCTAGGCATCAATTTCCTCGAGTGTAAAATGAGGAGGCTGGACTAGAGGTTCTCTAAGGTAACCTTAGGGTACTTTACTTTAATGCTCAATAGAAGAGGTTAGAGCGGTCTTTTCCAGTAATGTTGTTAAGAGGTACTGGAAGGCAGACCTAGGAGCAATATGAAGTTGAATAAAGGCGGATTTCAGCTTGATGAGGAAAAACCACTTAACAATTAGAGCTGTTCAGAAAAGAAATAAATTGCCCTCTGAAGTCAGTAAGTTTCCCCATCGACGGAATCTTCAAGTGAAGACTGGACCAGCCATCACCTGCTGAAGAAAGGCATTCTGTTCTGGTGGAAGGTGGGCTGGAGGGACTCTGAGGACACCTTCCAATTCTGATTCTGTGAGTCTGTGGCTAATTAAAGTTAATACGCCTGTAATTCACAGCAGTCAAGTAAGCCTGCAGGACAGGCTCTTTTCATAGTATTTTAACTTTCTCTTCAGGTCATTCTCAGATGGGAACCGAAACTTCACTTGAAATAGATCATCTTCCTTGTGTACAGAGTTCTCATGTTGTCCTTGACTACTGACATCTATGAACTTTCCTGTCCTGCTCCTTCAGTTACACACTTCTACCAGGAATACCACCACTGGGAAAAATCTCACAAACCAAAGCAACGTCATCTTTATCAATAGGAATAGAATGAAGTCCCCACCATTTTTCATATACTCAACACGTATTTTAAGCTCTAAACTTTAAAGAATTATTTATCTTCTAAATTTAGTAGAGTAGAGCTGAAGTGACGACTGCTTCCTGCTAAGGGAAGAGTACCCTGCTCTGCTTTAAAAGCTGTGCGAAGACATACCCGTGGGAATGCCGGCATTCTATGTATTTAGTAATGGTGCCACCTCCACATTCACGGTGGGGTGAATGGTGAGTGAAAGGATTCCAGGTCAAATCATAAACTGCTGGAACTCTGTTTCTACTTGTGATCAAAATCTAACCTGAACACTGAGTATGTTTCAACTGTTCAAGCCCCATGGGGATTGTATCATTACCAAGTAAACAATGAAGACTTACTAATACATAGACCTGTATGAGGTATCATGAATTTTTTGCTCTGCATTTTAAAACCTGACAAAATTTCCCTATATATGTATTTTAATGTAACACATTAAACATACTCTTCTAGACACACAGATCAAAGAGTTAAGAAGGAGAAAGTAAACTCAACAGGGGAATCTTGGGTGAAAGAGTGAGGATATGCTGAAATTCTCTCCACATTTGACTCTGCTAATTTAAAAATCCTTTAATACCACAGCAAGGTAATTTTTTTTTTGGTTAGGTAATGGGGGTTAAGTGACTTGCCCAGGGTCACACAGCTAGTAAATGTTATGGGTCTGAGACTGGATTTGAACTCAGGTCCTCCTGACTCCAACGCTCTATCCACTGTACCACCTAGCTGCCCCCAGCAAGGTAATTCTTAAGGACTTGCTAGATTCCATTCCATTTAAAAAAGATAAAATAATTTTCTTAAAATTAATATAGTATATTTCCCTCATTGTATAAGATATTCTAAGCCTAAGTATCTTATTCACAGAATCTAGGTCCTAAAGTCTTCCTATTCTCAGTCTTCCATCACTACAGAGTCTGGCATAAAGCAACCAGAACGACCAAATTCCAGGCCTTCTCGTATTTCAAATAAAAATGAATTCTGTGTACTTTACTCTGAAAATCCACCATCTTGTCAACTCCTCTTATGGCTCAGTCCACTAAGTGATGTCTTTTGGTCCTGCCTACTTTACTTAGGTAGTCATGCTCTAGTATCACAAAAAAATTTGAGGAAAATAGAAAAGTATTGAATCTAGTTTCAGAAAGAACATAGCTAAATGTGGAAATTACCAAATAAAGCCATAACAACATGAATTCTCTAGTTCCCACGGTGATGCCAAAGACCCTTATTGGTCTATTAGAAGGAAAGACTGATTACTTAGAAGGTGGGAATGAGATGCTCTCTTGGGGAGGGGAGATGCTGCAGGAGAGGACGAGAAGGCAGGGAATAAGATGAAGCCAGACTATTATCTAATAGAGGACTGAGGCAATGACCAATCAGCATGTCAGGTTCTAGGCCAGATACCCAAGGGGAAATAGTGGCCAGGCCAGGGAATTTTGGTTTGTAAAGTTCTGAGAGATGACTAGGATGGAAATCCCATTTCCCAAAGCAAAGCAGGCAGGCAGACAAAAAGGAGGCGCACTTATCCCCAAATGCTGGATTAATGGGAAAAGGAACAAAGAGCCAGAGGGAAGGACCAAGTCCCAGGTAAACTGGCTACAGTTCTTCAACTGGATGCTGAAGACCAAGATATGCAGATTTTCAAAGAAGTTATCTTCAACCAAAAGAACTTGGCTCATGAGACCTCTTAAGTCTGGAGCAGGAGGTGATCTATCTCAAGATGTTTAGAACAAAGCGCAGGGTCCTTCCAGTTAGTTAATTCGCTTAAGCTCTGACTTTTCTTTGGACTCTCCTTCTTGGTCCATAGGTTCTTCTCTCAAAGCACCCAATCTGAGACAGGCCTCAATTTCTGAGTTACAATCTGCTCTCAGATACTAGGCAATCACTTAACTGCTCTTTGCTTCAGTTTTCTCATTTGTAAATTAGGGATGATAATGGCAACTACCCCGCGGCCCCCCCTCCCCCAATTTGTTGTGGGGATCAAATAAGATAATAATTGTAAGACGCTTAGTACAGTGCCTAGCATATAGTAACCACTATATAAATGTTAGCTACTATTATCATTATCATCTATATCCACTGAGATCACAGGCAAGCCTCATCATTCAATCTATTCAGCAAGAAGAGAACTTTAACAGATTAAAAACCCAAACTACCAGGTACTAAACACCTACAATGTGCAATGCAACTGTGCTAGAAACTTAAAGAGATTCCAAGGGCAACAATACATCTTTTCCCTAACAGTCTAAGAATCCTCCCCTGTCTTTACCTGTAGCCTCAGCTAGGTGGTGCAGTGTATAGAGGGGTGGACTTGGAGTGAGGAAGACCTGAGTTTAAATCTAGCCTCAGACATCCACTAGCTGTGCAACCCTGGGCAAACCACTTAAAACTTTCTGTGCCTCAGTTGCCTCATCTGTAAAACCTACCTCCCAGGGTTGGTGTAAGGATCAAATGAGTTAATATTTGAAAAGGGCTTTGCAAACCTCCAAAGCACTCTATAAATGCTAGCTGTTACTATTATATTTATTACTGTTATTGCTTGATCCAGCCCCAGTGTACCTTACAAGGAATAGGTATTTGTGTTTGTTTAAGCGAATTCAATCAATTGAGAAACTTTTGGCTAGATAATTGCACCCCTGCGGTGAATTCAGCTCTGGAACCCAGTCAAATGTAGAACCCCAAAAGCACCAAGGTGTGAACCAGGCAAGTTAGCACCTTCTGGATGTGAAACAGAAAGGGCTTAGAGATGTACAAAAGGGACAGACTAATGAGATGAAGGGTTGGAGACTCAGACTTGGGAAATCACTTCTGGAGCTTCAGAACAGAAAGGAACCCACATAGATCTGAGGAAGTAGAGAGAGACAGTGCCTGGATTAGTGACTTAAGAACTGTCAGGAACACAAAAACGGAGAGAGGGCCAAGTTCAATTTATGCTTCAGGTATACCCACTCCTGTAAGCTCTAGAACCAAAGCAGCAGAAGTCAGAGGCAAAAGCACAAACCAAAGCACGTGGCTAGGGCAGGATCAGCTGAACATCTTGAGGAAGAGCTGCCCTGCCACGTATGCAGGGCCTGTACTTCAGCCACCCACTGGACCACAGGCTGTGGCCATGGCTTTGGCCATTTGTGCCTCCTCTAGAGCTGGTGAGAAGTTGGCCTGTCCTGTCCTTGTTCTGAGTGCAGAAGAGACTTCTAGATAAGAGACTCAGGCACCAAGCATCATCTGGAGAAGCGTATCAGGGCAGCCAGGAACCTGAGACCCTATTTACTGAAACTTAAGGAGGAAAGCTTCACTGTGAGGGGCACTAAAAGGAAAAGAAGATCTTCTGTGAAGAAGACCAATCCTTCCTCTGTGTATCTTGTGTCCACACGCAGGAGCACCGCAGGCACTCCGTACGCCCCACAGAAGTGGCTGCAAAGGATTCCAGGGACAAGCTGCAGGAAAATGTGGCACTTCTCTGGAAAAAAGCGGAAGCAATTCAGAACCTGCTGGCTGAAGACAGAAACAATGTGAAGACTTGGAATGAACAGGGACAAGCTTGGAGAGAGTGTTACAGCTCGATACAGAAGATTATACAAGTTCCTAAAGGAGGAGGAGCTATATCTTCAGAGAACAGATGAGGAAGACAGAGAAAACTTGGAAGAGTGAGCCTGCCAGCCTCCACCAATACCCTCAGAGCTTACAGGAGGAGATCACAGACACTGAACAAAATTGCCAGCAACTAGACCTCCAGCTTCTGTGGGTGGTTAGAGGATCACTGTTGTGTCATCACCCAAAGCCTGCTGTCACTTGTGAGGATGACTCGAGACCCCAATCACTGGGATATGGGAAATACTGAATAACTTCAAAGTGGACGTGAGCCTGGATCCTGAAAGAGCCTGTCCCTATCTCATCATGTCTGAGGATCTGAGGTCAGTCACACAGAGGCTACCAGCAGAATATACCTGCCATATCCCACCGATTTAAAGCGAGTATCATTTTTGGGTCTCAAGTATTCACCTCTGGAATGTGGGGAAGAGTAGGGAATGGACAGTCAGTGTATAGAAGGAGTTAGTGAGCAGGAAAGAAAACGTTCTTTTCTTTCCCGGGGACACATCTCTGCTTTCAAGTATTCAAAATGGAGATATTTACACTCAGATAACTACTCCACTCTATCTACGACATTATGTCACTTTATCTGTAAGGTAGAGATTTTTCTAGATTATGTTGCTGGAACCATTTTATTTTACGTCTCAGACAAGTTCTTCAGATGTCGTTTCCTTCACTCTTCTTTTTCTGAGTCTCTACAACCCCAGTTTTCTCTCTCCCCCCTAAAAGGGGAGGAGAATGCAATTCCAATGATCATTATTAGTTCATGAAATGTCCACGTCTGAGTGAAGTTCTACTCCTGAACCTTTCTAAGGGTTACAGTTCCAACAGAATAGAGGTCTGGCCTGCTCTGCTCTGTATGGTATTCTTGATATGTATGACGAGAAAGCATTCCCACTGGATAATAGTGAAGTCAACACAAATCTGTAGAAAATGTGGTCGGGAAGGCTGCTTCTGCATATCATTCATCAAGGTGTGGATAAGTCCCTAAAACCCCTTGATGAGTAGCTGCTGGGGTACTGACAGCTACAGGCTGTTAACAAGGAAAAGTGGGGAGTGGGAGATGTAATTAGGGGCAGAGACTCACTTGGGGAAACTAGGCATAAAAAACTTTGCTCTCCCTTCGGTAAGATGTGTCCATGCATGGCACACCTGGCCTTGCCAGGCCATTAATAAGAGTTTGTTTTTGTTTTTTGTTTTTTTTTTTCTGGTTCACCAATAGCTTCTTGGAACTTTTGCTGCTTACACATCCATTTTTGGAACCAAAACTAAGGTATGGATGAGATTTTTCCTGAAGACTGTTATTCTACCCAATAAATACTCATTGAGCCCTCAGTAGGATTTACTATATATCTAGCATAATTGTGGGTTCAAGTCCCAGCTCTGTCTATTGGCAGAAATATTTTAAGCAAAACATTTAACTTCTTTGAAACAAAATCTATTTATCTAGATACACTCCATATCCTGTTCATGCTTCAAATGTATTCTATAATTAGGTATAAATATGTAAATAAGTAATTGTCTATAAACTAATTTGTATATAAAAATGAACTAGGGATGTTTAACAAAGGTGTATGTTGGTAACTTTATATTAACTATTGAAGACATGTACTGTGAGTTTATAAATAAATATTTATTAATTACAAAAATTACTGCTATTATTACTAATATTTACTAGATCAAAATTAAAAGTTTTTTTGCACCTTTTCCATTAGTTTGCTTTACAAAACTAAAAAAAAAAATTCTCAAACATGTAGCTGTTTAAATAAAGCTTCCACTGTTTCCAATCTGGTAGCTGCTGCAGATGTTTCATGCTTGGAGCCATTTAGCCTTCTGTTTATAAATGACTAAGATAAGCAAAATTTAGGTAGTGTCTTAAAGCTTCAATCTCCAATACTAATCTTTTTAAGAGGTCCTCAATGTGCTGTACTTTTATGGCAGGAAAATACAAGGTTAATCAATAAACAACTATGACCCTGAAATCATTCTCATTTGAATGACAAAGAATTAAATACTTTTGCTCCAGTCTGGCTCTGACTGGAATGCTTTTTGATGCTGCAGGATCACCAGGAAGATGAGCTGCCTTCAGGCCTAGTGAGTAACTAAGAGCACCATACTTACTGGCAGACTTGACAGGTGACGTCTGACTGCAGTCCGCCTGTAAAGATTTGGTCGATGATGCAGTTACAGTGGTTGGGATTGTTGGCCTTCTTCCCATTATCGTCACCTTAACAGAAGTAAAACAAATTGGTTTTGAGTTCAAAGGGACTAAAGAATCAACAGTTCTTGTTTGGGGATCTACATAACCTTTTTTCCATCAATGCAAATGCATAAAATGCATTCCCATAGCTAAGAGCTGCAAACCTGTGATGAACAGATACCTATCAGGAAATAAAGTTGGCAACACAAACATTTTCAGAAAGACATTTATAGAATATTTTCTGCTTTAATAAGGAGAAAAAGCAAATGGTTAAAATGGTTTATTTTCATTTCATGAGGAAGCACAAAGTCCAGTTTTTAATTCGCTGCTTCTTACACCTCTAGGATTTCCTTTTTCTTAACACAAGTGCTAAGAAATTTGGAAGATGCAGCCATCTTGTTGGGAAGAGCCTTCAAAGTCCTTTTTCAAAAATGGAACACTAACACATTGTCAGTGGAGTTGTGAACTGATCCAACGATTCTGGAGAGCAATTTGGAACTATGCCCAAAGGGCTAGAAAACTGTGCATACTCTTTGATCCAGAAATACCACTACTAGTTCTGTATCCCAAAGAGATCATAAAAAAGGGAAAAGGACCTACATGTGCAAAAATATTTACAGCAGCAATTTGTGTGGTGGTAAAGAGTTGGAAGTTAAGGGGATGCCCATCAATTGGGGAATGGCTAAACAAGTTGTGGCATATGAATGTAATGGAATGCTATTGTGCTATGAGAAATGACGAGCAGGCAGATTTCAGAAAAACTGGGACTCACATAAACTGATGCTGATTGAAGTGAGCAGAACCAGGAGAACATTGTACACAGTAATAACAACATGTGTGATGACCAACTTTGATAGACTTAGCTCTCTTCAGCAATACAATGATCTAAGACAATTCTAAAAGACTCATTATGAAAAATGCTATCTATATCCAGAGAAAGAACTATGGAGTCTGAATGCAGATCGAAGCATACTATTTGCTCCCTCTCTTTTTTTCTTTCTCGTGGTTTTTCCCTTTTGTTCTGATTCTTCTTTCACAACATGACTAATGTGGAAATACGTTTAATATGACTGTACATGTATAGCCTATATCAGATTGCTTGCTGTCTTAAAGAGGGGAGAGGGGAGAAAGGGAGGGGAAGAAAAATGTGGAACTCAAAAATCTTATAAAAGTTGTTGAAAACTATCTTTACATGTAATTGGAAAAAAATAAAATACTATTAAGTGGAAAAAAACAAAGAATGGAAGGGTTAAGTATTATTCCCCAGGGAAGAGCCAATTTGCCCAGGCTGGGACATTTCAGTTAAGAGCAGGAATTTATATGGCTCAATAAAAATAGTCTTAATGATTTCACGTCAGTTTCAACCAGGTGAAGAGGCTATTACTCCAAACCAGTCAACAATTCTAAGATCCTTTAGACAACTGTAAATAGGGACAGGGACTGACTGAACTTGTGATTTCACTGATATAGGGAAATCTCAGATAAGGAAATTTCCTGTATCAATGCAGGTTTGTCATTTACAGTCTTAAGGAAATTGCCTAGAGTACTGAGAAATTAAGTGACATGCCCAGGGTTACACAGTCAGTATGTATATGTCAAAGGTGGGAAATGGAACTCAGATCTTCTTGGCTCCAAGGCCAAGTGTCTATCCATTATGCTAATTGGCATGCTAGGCCTTCCCTGCCCCCCACCCCAACCAGAATGGTACCAAATACGCACTTTCAGTTTCTCTACACTGAGCACAGATTTGAGAATGACAGATACATATAAGTACAAGCATCAAATTTACAGTGCCTGGCACATAGCAACGGCTTATTAATGCCTGTTGACTGTTTGCCTGCCTACTAGGTTATAAAGGCTAATTTGGATCATAGGCAGCATTTGCCCAGTTATTTTAATACTAGAAGAAAATTCTAACAAGTTTTTACAATACATTAAGTTCTTCTATAGCATGTGCTTTAAAAAATACAAATCTGTTCCATTTTGATCATCATGCAAATTTCAATTTTGCTTCTACACAACTTCTTTGAGAAACCAGTGAGAATGTAGAGAATTCTTTACTTCGTAATTAACAAACTACAACTGTTGTGAGGCCCATATTCACAAGCAAACTTAAGGGCTCTACTATAGTAAAGTGTGTCCCCCCCAAAGCCCCTGCCTGCCATGGTCTCTGGGGGCCACTGCTTATTATAGTTATGTATTTGTGAACCATATAATGTGCATCAAACTGTGCTATTTTTATTAGATTCCTATCTCTTTTTAATGTGTTACGAATAAAGTTTTTGGTAATGGAAACAAATTAAGTTAAATTATAGCAGAAGTGACTGTATAGAATACACTTACAACTTGAGGGAGAAGAAGCTTCACAAGCAGAAACTTAATGAAAAGAGTCAGAAGAATATTGGAAAAATATTTCAATCTACACTAAACAAAAATACTACATGCCTTAGTAATGTTTTGGGGATAGCAAAGTGACCGTGGTGTTAAGCTGGCAGACTTTTATCCTATTGTCAGTTAGGACAATAAGGTGTAGATGACCATCTTCTAAATAAATGTAGGAATATCACGTTTATTTCCACAACTAACTCAGGGATGTGCTAACAATGGTTTCCTCATTTCTTGCAATACTTCCATTTTCAAAATGCACTTCTGAGAAACTGATTTTAGAATATGTTTTTGATGGTTACAGGCAATAATACCACGGTTAAGTTTTCACCACCATTCTCATTAAATGCTGGAAATGGTAATTAAAAAATAATAACCCTTCCATTTAAAAGGACCCCAAAGCACTTTACAAATTGACACATTTTCACAAAGTGATAACTTTATCCACCTCCAGACATATGCTTCATATTCATAGTAAGAAATTAAACACTGCATAAGCTATTATTTCCTTTTAGTTCAATTTCTAGTGCAAATGTTTAAAGGACCAAGTTATATGCTTTCATTACAGAAATTTCCTTTTTAATATACAAAATTATGACTCCCCCCCCCCCCAAAAAAAAGTTTATGACAGCCACAATCTAATATCAAATTTGGGTAACTCGAGTCACTATTAATTACTTCTGTAATGTTAGCCCAAAGATCTATGCATACAAAGGTTGAAAACAAGTAACTCATAAAAAGGCTGGTTTGAAACATAACATGATACTTCAAAAATAACCATTTTCGTGGGGAATGAGTTAATAGAGGGGGCTGGCAAAAAAAAATATCTTATTCCCTGCAGTTCAAAACATTTAAGTAAACCTTCAGGTATCTCATATCGGGCCCCATAATCAGGCCCAAGGAAAAAAAAAATCAAGATTGGTTCATGGTATTTGGGACTTGAATGTTTCCTTAAATTTCTTAATTAAGCTAAACTTTAAAACTACCCAAGCTCACATAATTAGATTACTTTAAACACATAGGTGACTCATGATATAGCTACTTTCTAAGGTTATGGTTTTAGAACCATCTTATAGGTATAGTAACCTAATCTTCTGAATACTTCATAACCATATTCCCTTGGATGAAGTCCAAAATATTTGCTTTATTCCAAATACTGTTCTATAGTGAAGTTCTATTAAAGAAGGTTTTTGAGTGTATGCAGTTTTCCATTACTGATTTTTCTGGCAACCTCACGTAAGCAGTCACATACCACAATAGCCAAGGCAGGCTCTTAGTATTTTGTTTGGTGCACATTCAAATGCGTTAAAGTCTTTCACAGTTCACAAACTCTCAGATAGATTACATACTACTAACTCTCATAAGCCTGATTACAGTGTAAAATGTTTCATAAGCTGCTAAAGCAAGGTCTATGTAGATTTCCAATAGATGATATACTATGATGATACCCCTAGGATAGAAGGTAAACTCCTTGAGGGCAGGGGTGATTTAATTTTTATCTTATATACACAGGCCTAGCATAGCATACAGCATTTAGTAGGCACTTGATAAATTCTTGATTGATAAATAGTTTTAATGATCATCAGGGACCAATACTACTGGCTTTGTTGCTAGAATGCAGTCATACTTAGCCATGAAATTTGCTAAGAAAATTGAGCCCTACCCCCCACTCTCTAAAAAATTCACATCAGATTATTTTACCTTTTGCTTCCTTCACTTGACACAAAAATAAAAAGGATTAAGGAAAAATACCATTAAGAAGCATGTAACAGTCAAATTTCTCTTTCTCTGTCATCGTGACTTACTTCCTAGGTGGTGTGTGTTGGAGGGGAAACCATATAAACAGTATTTAGAATTAACCTGTGTAGTAGAGAAAGGTATATACTTAAATAAAACATATATATTGGATCAGAGGGTAACTGAACATGTTGATTCAGTGAAATGAAACATTTTAATGAGCATTCATGTTCTCCATGTCTAAAATAATTTCAGCAGCATTTAAGTATTAATAAGGTAGGGCAATACAACTGTTTTAAAAAACCTAACACAATCTTATAATAGTGTCTACATCACAAAAGTGACAGTCCAGTTATAATCAGTTACGTCTGACTTTTCATGAGCCCACTTGGGGTTTTCTTCCCAGATACTGGAGTAGTTTGCCATTTCCTTTTCCAGCTCATTTTACAGATGAAGAAACTGAGGCAATCTGGGTTAAGTGACCTGGCCAGGGTCACACAGCTAGTAAGTATTTGTCCGAGGTCACATTTGAACTAAGGAAGATGAGTCTTCATGACTCAAGGCCTGGCACTCTATCTACTGGGCCACCTGGCTGGCCTGCTCTGTTAAATACCAGACTCCATTTGGAGTATTTTGTTTAATTTTGGGAGCTAAGTTTTAACAAAGGCCTGGTAAAGAAGGGTGCTTCTAGAAGAGGCTGAAAAAAAAAGATGGTAAAAGGTATGTATAATTCCAATAAGGAAAGGAGAAAGCAACATAATAGTAGAGAAAAACCAGCCCACAAGGAATCGGGAGACTCGACTTCTACTCCTGGGTACACTAGTCTGGCAAGTGGCTTTTCGTGTCTAGGACTCTCTTCTCAGCTGTGAAATGAAAGCATCGAACCAGAAGATGTCCAAGGCCCC